ATAAATAACACTGTTAACTGGAATTTCCTTAAAAATTTTGGTCTTTTTTTTTTTTTTAAATGACAGAGAAACAGAAATGATGCCGAATACCTGCTATTTTTGCGCTGCCTTCCTTCGCTAAAACGTATGCTTTTCTGTTAAAAATGTCGAGAATGCCTATCCCTTTCGAAAAAAAAAAAAAAAAGCAGCAACGTGAGAAGCTATTGCGCCTTTTAGGAGACTTATGAGTCATATTAATTTGAATGCCGTAATTTTATTCCTTACAATGCCTTTGTGTTTTATTGTTTCCTTATATTATTCAGCCTTTTCTTTTTTTCTACTAATATAGACAAATGGTATCATGTGCGGGGAAAAAGCTGCGACCTTCGCCTTTGGAATAATCCCGCGCTGACTAATACTCGCGGAACTCGCGGTAAAATAGGAAGTTGCAGTTATTTCCGGCCGCGGAAAAATACTTCCCAAGGATGCACTCACAAATGTTCCTTTTCCTTGCGCACCCATTTAATTGCCACAACTATGCAGAGAGCAAAAAGGGTAAATAAAACTCCACGTAGCAAAAGATAAAATTTCGCAGAAGAAGAATGGCTGAAATGAAGCAATATGTTGCGAAACTAAAGGAGAGTACGCGAAATGAAGTGAAATAAAAAAGTGGAAAGATAAAGCACGAAGGCACATGTAGCACCTAAATATTCCCGTGCGTGCCTTCATTTATGCTTACATTTTTGTTTACCCTAATGCGTACTATTGTTCTTAATTTTTTTTTTCTCGGCCTCTCGCAACGTACCTACCAACCCGCGATTGCGCAAGTTGGCGTCAGCAAGAATATATCCTTCAAAACACCACAACTTGTTGCGTACCACGTGGAGAATGAATATATATACATACAATAGATGTACCTATGCGCTTACTCGTGTGGAGCTTATGCATACACGCCCTGCGATTATGTGCCCATGTAGGCAACACTATGCAAAGGTGCACATATGAGCCAAGGAAGCAAACGCAAAGAAAAGAACAAATTAAAAAAAACACAGGAAGTTTATTCCCATTGCCACATAGTTGTGGGTAGGTGGGGACAAATTATTTCCTGCTACATCGGTGAAAAGTGCCTGCGTATTCTATACATAACTGGTAGCCACAAATTGAAGAAACTATCGTGAACTTTCTCCATTTGCTGAGCTATACATAACGAAATATTACAAAGTACGCACATATCGAGCGGATCCCTAAAAAGAAGAAGTACACTCGTACACATGAACACATGTACTACGTGTTTGCGTCTCTCCCCCGGAGTTCTCCGAAGACACATCGCACAGAGGCTGGAAAGGAATGGTAAAAAAAAAAAGAAAGGAAAATAAAAGGAAATATAAGGAAACATAGAAAATTGCAAGTATAACGAAATAGAAGAAAGTGTGACAGACTAAAAGTGTAACGAAATAAAAGTGTAACGAAAAAAAAGGAAAGGAAAAAAAAGGGAAGGAAAAAAAAGGGAAGGAAAAAAAGAGGACAAGGCCCGTACATCCCAACCTACCCCCAAATTATGCATAGCCATAAACTCCCCCTTTCCATTCGCCGTCCACTAGCCCTCCCCCCGCCAGATTTCTTTTTTTTTAACCCCCAGGTAAAAAATATCACAATGATGGAAAATATTACAAAAATCACCACCATTCAAGAAAGGTTAAAAGATAAGGAAAGCAAATTCTTAAGTGCCAACGAGGAGGAAGAGGAAGCAGACGCAGAGGAGCAAAAAAAAACAATCGATGAGAGCACAATAAAAGAAATTATAGAAGACCTAATTTTGTTAAAAGACGTAGAAATAAATAAAGACATTTTAAAGCAAACCAAGATAGGAGTAACCGTCAATAAATTTACCAAATTAGGAAATGAGGAAATACAAAATGTTGCAAAGGATCTTGTCGATAAGTGGAAAAATATTGCTATAAAGGAGAAGCACTCCTCCACCGGTAGTAGAAGTGCCGAAAGTCTGAAGAAAAGAAAATCTGAGCTAGTCGAAACGAGTGACAATCACACTTATTCAGAGGATTACGAATTAAAAAAGGTAAAAGTTAAAAATGCCAATGAATACAAATCAGAGCAGGGAACAATTCAAAGCGATAACTCCAATCGGAGTGAACCGAATAATAAGACCGATGATCTCCTCCGTTACAGGAAAGATCACAATCGTGACAACTTACCAATAAAAGGAAGCGTTAAAAATAGCTACCAGTTTAGCGAACTTAAACACATGAACCCAGATTTAAAGGCACTCACTGAGTGGAATTATAACGGAAAATTTCACAGTGATGTACTTCGAGATAAAGCGAAACAGTTTTTATTTAAAGCTTTCATTACCGGCTCAGATGATAATTTGCTCTACCTTATTGAGAGAAAGAAGCTAAACGATATTATATACAATATAGAAAACGAATTACACAAATTTTTTATTGAAAAAAAACAATCACAGAAGGAGTACAATATGCAATTAAAATCAATAAAATTTAATTTATGTGATAAAAAAAACCCAAGTTTTAACGAAAAAATTTATGCAGAATACATCCAACCAAGAACTATAGCCACCATGAATTCTCAAGAAATGGCTAGCGATGAGAAAAAAAAGGAACGAAACAAATGCCTGCAAGAAAGTCTACAGGCTTGTCAGTCTGACTGGGATGTTAAAAATATTCTTTTAAAAAAAACTAGGAAGGGTGAATTTCAGTGTTTTAAATGTAAGGGCTATGAAACGGTGTACCACCAGCTGCAAACTAGGAGTAGCGACGAGCCTATGACGACCTTCGTCACATGCTTGAAATGTAACAACCGTTGGAAATTTTGAGGAAACGCGTGTCCATATGTACGTTTGCATATGCATTCTCAGTAACGCACTTCCCCCGAGCAGGCGTCTCTGCAAAATTGGCAGTTTCAGTCGAAGTAACTTTTGAAATTTGCACCGTCGTGATGACATATGCATACGTTCAAGTACACTCCTTTTTCACGTGGCGCTACACATACTTATACTACAGTTTGGTACATTACTTCGTATGTATTAAAATTGTCTGTGTGCATTTTTCTTTTTTTCTTTTTTTTTTTTCTTTCACCTCTTGTGTATGTATCTACCCCCTCCTCCTTGCATTGTTTACCATATTTCTTCTACTTATTTTTTTTTCTTTTTATATATATTTTTTCCCATCTTCGTTTAGAAAAAAAAAGCAAAATAGTGTGTGTTATGTGTAAACAAGCAGGCGATGTGTGCATCCCGCCGTATATGCGCGCGCACGCATATGCTAGAAACGAAGCATGCCTTGACGCTCCCTCCCCCATTTCCTACCATCTCGCGCGTAGATTTCTCAACAACATCGCGATTATTGCACTTCCCCTTTGTTTGTTCCCATATGCGCAGCAGCTTTTTTTTAAATTGTCACCATTTTAAAACCCAGCCTATAAGCACATGTGCATACACATCGGCCCACTTGTTCATGTAGGTATAAACGCGAGGCACCCTATTTTTTCCTTCTTGATTTCTTCCCTGCGTCCCTTTTTTTGGCCAATTTTCGGATTCATTCATCTGTGCTATATATCTGTGTGTATTTTCTTTTTTTAATTTTGTGCAAGCCACGAAGGAAGAGACTTTTTTTTTCCCTGTAAAATTGGATAAAACGTAACTTACCTTTTTTTTCAATCTACTTAAGAGCAAAAACGTGTTACAAGTCGTCTCGCAAGTTAAGGAAATTACATATATGCATGAAAACCTTTGCGCATGCTATGTGACTCCTTTATGTGGCAATAAGTAAGCATATTCGTCCTCCACAGTGAATAATGCATACACAAATGACGTTATCGCACCCGCTTCTTTTTCTTTTTTTTTTTTTTCCGCCAATTAATGAATAACTCACCATTTTGCGAGAACTATCAAATTGGAATTAACTATTTCGAAACACTTTGACAAATGTTCACCCCCCATGGGAGAAAAAACTCCCAAAAAAGGAAAATATCTAAATGTAAAAGGAAATATACTTTTTTTTTTTTTTTGCTTGCATTAGATTTTACCAGAATAAATTGAAACAGGAAATATAATGCCTTTTTTACCCACCACAATGCAGCATTTGGATTTATGTAATTCGTGGGGCAATTGTGAACTTTGGAAAAAGGAGCTTTAACAGGATAAATTAAACGAAAGAATAATATACACCTGAACAGGGGGAAAAGATGAGCAGCAGTTCGTTCAGCCCAGCAGATAATGACAATGATGATGGTGGCGAATACAAAAATGAAAGAAGTAAAAAAGGCCACAGAAATGACAAAGTAGAACACGAAAAAGGGTTAAAAAATAGATCACGCAGGAATAGCACTGGCGAGGCAGGAAAACGAAACGGCGGGAGCGACCCTTCCAGTTCCTCAAATTTTAAAAATCAACATAGTGATAAACATAAACGTATGAAAAAATCAGAGACAAAAAATAATTCCGAAAATAGGAAAAGCTCTAAAGAAAAAAAAATGAAACATGAAACCAGTAGCAGAAGCTCGTCATACGATAAAGATTCTAACAAAAAAAGAAAGAAAGACAAAGAAACACTGCATAAGTTAAGAAATGACAAAAATGAAGACGCCCTGCCGAGGAACAAAGGAAGAAGAATCCCTCCCCCCCCACGTAGGAAGAAGCATTGCAGTGATAGTGACCAATGCGAGGGGAAAAATTCCCCCAGGCGAAGAAGGACCAGACATCGTAATAGTAAAGGGAGGAAATCCATTTCCCGTTCTTCTTGCCTTGATGAGAAGAGGGCGGCCAAGTCTCATTTGAGGAGGGGAAGCCGCATCAGTCGGGGAAGTAGTTACGGTGACACGTCATCCGACAAAAGCGACCAGAGTGATACGTCATCCGATGAACGCGACACGAGTGGTACATCCCCCGATGAAGGCTACACGAGCAGTAGCCCCTCCGATGAAAGTAGTGTAAGCAGTGGTTCGTCAAAAAAAAAGGGGATCGAGACGGAGGAGGTAGAGGAGACGAAGCCACCAAAGGAAGATGCACCAAGTGCCGTAAACGGAAAGGAACAATTCGATGCGCACATTTATGACAGCAAGGAAATGATAAGGTTAACCATCAGCATTCTCCAGAACTACAACTTTTTAAACAATTTAAAAATATTATATCAAAAGTTAGACAAAAAAAAAAAAATTTCACTTGAGGGTATGAAAGATTTAAAATTAAAAAAAAAATTAAGGCATTTATTTAGATCATGGAAATTAGAAAAGGAGGGAGAATTCTACAGAAAGCCATTTAATTTTAAAGAAAGTATATTTGGCATTTTTAACAGCTTAATGTATTACTTTTTGTCCAGACTGGATATAAATAAACTGAGGCGCAACATTAACAAACGAAAAGCTCGCTCGTTGAAGAGGGACGATCCAAAGCAACATGATGACCAAGTTGGAGGAGTCAATAGTTCACGTGATGATTATGATATTGATAACATCAATTACTATGATAGTAATTTTATCGTCAATTTTCAAGAGGAAGACTACCCCCATGTGATGCAAAACACTAAGGAACAAATGAAAAGTTTGAGAGAGTTACATGAAGAAGGGTTCTTTACAAATACAAAGGAACAATATAAAGAATTTTTAGAAAAACATAAAAAAATTGATTTATGGGGAAAAAATGAGCAGGAACAAAAGTTTCTGTTGAACTCGAAAAATTCAGTTAACGAGAGGAGAGTCTTTGATAGGGGAACTGATTTGGCCATAAACAGATTTGTAAAAAAGGAGGATTATAGGAAATTGATTAAGCGTACAAAGCAGCACGTCGATGACAAGTTTCACAAGACGGGCGATCGGGTTTAGCCTATTGCTCGCCTTTCCTCCTTCCCCCCTGTATGTTTCGTACACCGCGCACAGGACGCTTTTTCCCATGTACGTAACACAAATGTTGCATATGCAAGATTAACTGAAGATTTAACGAAGGTAAAGGAAGGAGAATCCAGCGTGGAATCGCATTTGATGAACCTATTTTCATCAGTGTAAGGAACAGGCTCGGTAATGACAGCGGACAATTTTTTCGCGCACGT